ATATAATATATGCAAACAAGGTGGCTCCTCTCGTGTGTTTGATTATTCCTAGTTTCTTTCTTCAGCTGTCTCAGTATTTCGTTCTTTCCCTTTGTTTGTTTGTTTTCTTGTGTCTAGGTACTCACTAGATTGTATTTTATTTAGTTTGAATTGTTTCATGCTTAGATCAATTTGATTTGATTTTATTCAAGTTGTGGAGTGGAAGACCAAAAATAAAAGAATCGTCTTTGTAAATAATAGTTATGGACATGCGTGGTGTGGTGTGCACAACGACTTTGTTTACTTTCTTTGTATCGCTTGCTAATTCCAGTATTGCATATATGCAATGTGATTATTTCATTCATCCATAACATCTTAATATTATGATAATTTTTATTTATTTATTTATTTATTATTATGATGTGTCTCCTCAGCTACATCAAAAGTTTTGGTGGCATTATGGCTTTACATGCAAAAACAGGAATACACTCAGTTTTGGTGGCATTAAATCCATTTCTTTTTAATAACCAACTTCTCCGTTAAATTTTACTCTTTTGTTTGGTTTGGATTGTATCATTAATTGGTGATCAATTTGTTCTTATTTAACTTTTAGACCACCAAAATTAAAATAATCTTCTTTGATAGTATTTCTTTGTGCCTCCCATTCACCCTGTAACGCCGAGCACAACAACTTAATGATATTCCTGCAAAAAAAAAACCTTTAAATTTAATTAAAAAAGTGTTGGCTTCATAATATTTCCGCTGACACAACAATTTTTGTGATTCTACACTGTAAAGCAATATAAACTGTGTCACAACCAAAATTAAAAATAAGGGTCAATTTCACGTTTTGGTCCTCCAAGTATAGCTTGGTTTAAAAGCAAAATAAATCTTATCAACATTTCAAATTTTGGCATACCTGATGAGAAGGCCCTGACTTGGAATTGATTGAAGTCAGTATTATTTTAAATTAGTTTCTTGATTTAGCCGCCCATTTCTCCAAGAACATAATATAATTATTATTTTTTAATTATCTTAGATCTTGGGCATGTTGACTGTACATCTTAAACTAGTATAAACTCTCTCTTTCTCAAGAAAGTAATATAAAATTTTGTAATTGCCAAACTAAAAAAAGAAAAAAAGTAATTAATGAACCCTTTTTTTTGGTCCTGTGGTGAACAAAATTGAAGTGAAATGTATATGCTCCCCACACCACATGGTGTTTATAGCATTTATATGTTCCAAGTTAGTAAACATGCGCCTAAACCACAGTGAAACAATTGAAATTAATTCATAGCATGTGTGTTCACTTATCAGGAATGAGTATTGAAATAATTTCAGTTTTTAGAAATTATCGAGATAAGGGACATGTTTCACCATGGTTTTCTTAGAAATCGATGTATATGCCTCAAAAAATCGAAATTTTTATCCCATGTTTGTCTTCACTTGGTTCTAGTTTTAAGCGGGACTGTTAACACTAGCCCCACCAAAAACACCTCTTTAGGTGTTCTTAGTGAAACCCCCTTGGAAAGGGAGGACTAAACAGTCCCAACCCAAGAGCTAGCCAACCAAGCGCCATCCACAACCACCGATCACCCAAGCACCTGCAACCGATCCAAACCCCCATCGTCACAGCCATACGCAGCAACCCCAATCCACTATCGTAGCCACACAGTTCCAGTCAGTTGTTGGGTTCATTTTTATACATGATTTATTATGTCATTCACCAAATATTTTGAGTTAGTTCTTGACATTTTATAGCATTTTACTTCATTTTTGTGTTTTTATAGATTTTACCTTGATTAGAATGAAATTGTGCTAAAAATGTTTTATTGGATATAAATTCTATTTTTGCTCATTTTCGTAGGTTAAATTCCTGGCTGTGGATCACCATACTCCGTTGTTCGGATTCAGTGAAGCTCTTCACAAAACTGGGCGAACAAGGCAACGGCATGGGGCCCAAAAGTTTTGGGGGCACAAAAAAAAAATTATAATCCTCCATATGTATATGTATTGTATATGCCAAAATGATATCTATATCTATATATATAAAGCAAAAGACAAAGAATGGTGAAATATTCAAAATACCAGAAAATGCCCTTGGTTAATGCAAACATTAAGAATTGAAATTATTTATTAAATGAGGATAATGTGGTAAATTCACACTTTTTCATATTTAAAAAAAATTAAAATTAATAGAAAAATCAGATAATGAATCCTATTTTTATGGAATTCAACTACCCATTATCTTTTTTAATTCTAAAATAAATTTAAATAAATTTTAAAAAGCCTCTCGCAGGCGCAGAAGGGCGTGCAGAGAGGCTAGTATATAAAAAGTAAAATGCAGAGAATGGTGAAACATTCAAAATATCATAAAATGCACTTGGTTAATGCAAAAATTAAAAATTGAAATTATTATTTAAATGAGGATAATATGATAAATTCACAATTTTTCATATTAAAAAAGATTAAAATTTAAAAAAAATTCAGATAATGAATCCTATTTTTATGGAACACAACTACCCATCATCTTTTTTAATTCTAAAATAAATTAACATTTTTTTATTATTAAAAAAAAAAAAAAAGTCTCTCACAAGCGCAGAAGCGCATGCGGAGAGGCTAGTATATATTATGTATTTTAAAACTTATATCTATATTATATATTATATGAAAAGGAAAAACATGCGCATCCGATTTTGTTTTTTTTTTTAATTTTTCTTCTTGTCTGCTGGTCCAACCAAAAGCTTTGCTTCTTTTTCATTCCTGTAGCTGAAGGCGCGCATGTATGATGTCTCTCACTTCTTTTTTTATTTATTCTTTATGCCTTTTTAAAAAAAAAGGAATTCTTTACGCCCTTTTGTTCCTTCGTTTTGCTTCTGCTTCTTGTCCACTTTTGCTTATGTATTTTTTTTCATCTCAAATTCCCTTTGGTCTGCGTTTCATTTCCTCCTCCTTCTTGTAGTTTCCTGTCGTTTGTGGTGGCAAGGGGCAGAAAATCAATTGGAGTTGGAGTTCTTGTTCTTTGCTTCAAGTTGAAGAAAAAATGCTCAAAATTCAGGTTTTATTGGTCTTTGTTCTTTGTTAAATTATTGATTTTATATGTAGTTGCATTATTGTTATTGTTTTGGTCTTAGGTGTTGATTGTTGAGATTTTTATTTTGAAGAACAAATTGCTAAAAGTCTAAGAGGATTTTTGCATAAATATTTTTTGAAAAAGAAGTGTTTCACTGGAAAATGTAGTTGAAGATTTACCAAATAAATCTGAACAACGAATTCATTTTGAACAAAATGAAAATGACGATACATGAATGAAAACGAAAATAAAAGTGACTAAAGTGTAGGACATGATATTGAATTGAAGATACAGTGAATGAACTTGAATGCCCAAAATTTGGCATTTCGGGGAAGAAATGAAAGCGAAAATTAGGAAAACTAAACCTGCCCTAGGCAGTAAACATTACCAAAAATTTATAATTTCCGTGATGAATTTGTCTATAAAGGGGTACTCCAAATAAATCTGAACCTCAATTGCTTTTTGCTTTATTTGTTATCTCAATAAAAAAAAAATAGAGTGGTGCTAAACGAATCCTAAAATTAACTAAGTACACCCTATGATCTAAGTACACCTTAATATTTAAATTAAATTGTAAAATTAGCTAAGTACACCTTATTTAACTACCAAAAATACCCCTATTACACCCTAATACAATCTATCACAATTCAATATATTAAAATTACATTTTTTTTAAATGTAATTTAAAATCCGTTTGCTATGCCAAGTCAAATGTTTGTGTGCTTCCACCCGATTGTGAGAGTTCATTATGCTAAAATTTTACATTGGCAACGGATAAAATCTATTTCCTGTTAGGCTCCCCTACTGCTGTATCATGTATTGGTACATAGGAGCTCGTGGATACTTGGTCTTTGAATCTTCTCTTCCTGTCTAGCAGCTACAACACAAGTAACATATAAGAAGTATGCTTTTTTGTAACTTTGAACCTAATACAATTGCTGAGTCTAAACTGCTCAAGAATCTTTTGAGTCTTTATTGGGATATTTGATGCTTCTGTTTCCAAAAAATGGTGGTAGTGGTGAAGGAAGAGGAAGAAGGAAAGGGCCCCAAACCCAAGAAGAGCCTGGGTGGTTGATGATGTTGGTGGTTTTTAAAGTGGGTTTGGTATTATTGGAGAGAAGAGGAGGCTTGAGAAGCAATGGAGGTTGATAAGTGTTTGTCTGCCTGTTTCCCTCATGGCTTCGCCATTTCGTGGCCTTTTCTTATTAAAATTAGAGTGTGCTTATTAAAATTACATTTGTTTCACAATTTAATATAATTTTTTTGGTCATTTTATATTAGGGTAAATTAGTAATTCAATAAATAGTTTAGTAATAGAGTGTACTCCGTAAATTTTAGGGTTCGTTTAGCCGCACTCAAAAAATATTATTGAAGACTTAAAGAACGTGAAAATAGGTTTTTTCTTTTATTTTCTTTTCATCAAGTTAAAAATGCATTGATAATTAGCCGCAAAAGGACACTGAACAAGAGAAATTGCAAACAAAAAAATAAGAATAGACAAATCATTGTGTATACACTATGCCAAAGCTCCCTCCCTACGGTGGTATTACTCGAGAAAAATGCATTGATGATTCAACCACAAAGCACAGGGGACAAGAGAAAATTATAAAGAAAAATAAAAATAGACAAAACAGTTCGTCTTCACCGTTGAAATTTGGGGATAAATTATAATATTTGTACCCACGCCATCCTCAAGTTGTCTTTATAATATTTGCGCCCACCCTCAATTATCTGTAGGAGATGTCTTTATAAAAAAAATACCCGTAACCTTCAATAGTCTTTCTAATACCCTACTGAGCGTGGTTGACTAAGTCAATGTCAATGCAAGTAAGTATAGGTTTCTATTTGAAGCCAAATTCAAAGTCAGTTCATTTCATTCATACCTTGGGAAACTAAGAGCCAAATATATATCTCCCAATTCCCTTGTATTCACCTCATCAAGAACAACATGACTGAACTCGCCTTTCCTTTGGCAACCAAACTCATTGAAAAGCTCGGGTCCATTACTTCTGAGCAGATCTGCTTGGCATGGTGCGTTAAAGCTGATCTGAAAAAGCTTCAGCGCACGATGTCCATCATCAAAGATGTTCTCTTGGATGCCGAACAAAAGCAAGAACATAACCAGCAGATACGCAGTTGGCTAAGACAGCTTAAAGATGTATTTCTCGATGCCGAGGACTTGTTGGATGAGTTTGAATGCGAAGCTTTGCAGAGGCAAGTGGTCGAAACAGTTCATGGCACAACCATAAAGGTACGCCGTTTCTTCTCTCGTTCTAATCCAATCGCATTCCGTTTCAGAGTAGGCAATGAAATCAA